TTTTATTATGTATCAGTTCATGTGTTCATCTCTTTATTATCCCTCCCGAGAAGACTTGTTGTATGTCCATAGTATCATTTAAAAATAGAGATAAATAAATTTTGTCCTTCTGGGTTTCCCTCATTGCAGACCAAGCTATACATAATTAGCAAGTGTCACTTTTTGTTTATAGTGGCAGATTCTGAATGCACTCTGCTCTTCCTGGCTGGAAGGCATTTCTGAAGGATTCTCATGTTTCAGATATTATAGAGCATGCCTTTTGGGTTTAGACTTGATTGTCACTCTTGACATTTTTTCCTCACTTACTCTTGTATCATGGCAAGTTTAGTACCTTATATGTTTCTAAGATGGAGTGACAGGATACTTCTTAAGCTCCACACAGCGAAGACCTTCCATCTGGGGAATAATGATGTAATCTTGTATGCCTCCTAACATCCAGGACACAGAGAAAGTCTTCTGTGTAGGGACTGGGAACTGAGAGCATTATGCAATTCTTGGGGCATATTTCAGAAAGCACATGTAAATTTTTTAACCCTGACAACATTGTAAAGTGATTAAAAAGGAATAAAACTTATGTTTATTTTCAAAAGATATCAGTAGCACAGTGCATCTGTGAATTCCTGTTCAAGTTCCACATGATTTTGATGTCCCCAGCCCTGATCTACTTGGCAACATGGTACCATTACACTCCAGTCTTCATGTCAAGGTCCTGATGATTTTGTGTTTCATTAACAGTCAGGAGTTCATCACATGCTTGTGTTCGGTCATTTGACCGTTCTTTATGAACCAAGTGCACCATTTCTTGTGATTTGCTGATATCTCCATTTAATGCACTTGACTTCCTGTCCTCCACTGCCCCTTTCCCATTGTTAATCACTAGCTTTTTCTTCTGCCCACATCTAGAAAGAAATAAAAATAAAATACTATTAATAGAGACTTACAGAGATAAGAAAAAAATTGAAGGTCAATATTTAGGAAAAGGTGATTGGAAAATAAAGTTGTGTCTGCCAGTGCAGACATACACTATGCAAAGTGCAAAGTTCTCCATATCACATATTTTATTTTTGAAAGTATCCAAATGACATTTGTCAGGAACTCACTTATTCAATTTATATCTATTGTTCCTACATATAGGAATAACATTCATTACTGAATGCTAGAATTTTTTTCTAACCTTTAAATATACCCACATTTATGAACTTTGTATATATCCTACTATAAGGACAGTTTCTAAATCCAGACTTGGGACCACATCTTTGAAAATGCATGAGTTCTCGAGGGAGTAGAAAATTCGGATCAAGCTCTCACCTCATTATACAAAACAACTCTCTTTTTCTTTGTATTAGTGTGTCAAGCCTAGAAGCCAATGAGCAGCAAGGAAATACAGAGCACTACTGCTACTATCTGCAGCACAGTTCCTTATGATGTTAAGGTAGGAAATAGGTACTGTGTCTTTAAAGTTACACTCACTGCAGTGATGCCCAGTAAACTTTATATATAGCTCTGAAAACACACACACACACACACTCATTCCTTTAGAAAGTCACCAGTCCAAAACTGATGCATGCTGGCCACCATGGGCTGTGTATTCTTCAATGCAGTAAGTGGCCTAGTGGTTAGCATGCAGGACTCTCACTGCTGCGACCCAGGTTCGATTCCCCAGTCCCCCGGGCAGATGGAGCCTGTTAGCCCTGTGAGGCCATCCATCTATGAGAAGGTCACTCTAAACAAACCTACATCCTGAGGACCTCACTGCCATTGTCCAAGCTTGCTTGGCCCTGGCAGATGAACCTTAGGATTAAAGGGTGGGCTCAGTTCAGCGCATGGTGTGTCTCACCTAAAAAAAATCCATTGCACAGGCTTGAAAGGTAAAAGACCTTTCCCAAAAATCTTCGTTCGCGAAGACTGGCCATTATATTATATATATATATATATTATATATAAGAAAGTACTAGTTACAGCTCTCAGGTTTGCTTCAGACTGTTAAGATGATTCTATGGCTACACACTGTTGAACATCCTACTTTTCCTCAAACAGCCTTGAGTATATACAAAGCACAGCTCTCCTAAGAGGGACAATGTCTCTGTGAAGTTGCACTTTTAAGTGCTTCTTCTTAAATGAAGCATATTTTGCCTGAATTACTAATTTGGCAGTTCAATTATACTATTATGTTTCAGAAATACTATTTTTTTCATGCTCACTTTTTCATTTTCATAGATGACAGTTATTTTATCTGAAATACCTCAGTTCACTGTGCTAATGTTACATACACCCTTGGGAATGATTTCCTGCTCTGTAGCCATAAAATGCCGAAGGACACCAGCAAGGAGCTGTGGAGCTCCACAGCCTCTTCAAAGAGCAGCTCAGAGCGCTTAGCAACCAACAGACTAGGAAAAAATTTGCTCACTATTTCCTGAACAAAAATCTCCACATATTATATGGTTACTACTCTGATCAAAAAACAGAGTTCAAATTCAACATTCAAGTAGCATTCAATAGTTACTCTGTTAAAGGGCTCAATTTTAACATTCAAGCAGCAAAAAGCTGTTGAAGACAATCGAGAAGTAACTTTAGAACAGCCCCCAGAGAAAAGAAAGCGGTAAGAACTTTATAGCCTATGCTTTAGGTTAGGGTTTTTTCAAATTTCCTGGCTAACTTAGCACAGATCACTGCACCTTTTCATTGCTCAGCTTCTTCATCTGTAAAGTAGAGTAAATAAAGCTATTGAGAGCTCTGATAGCAATGTTAGAATATATCCTTGTGACTGCCAGCTATGATACTGACTCTTATTTGGAAGGAACAGATTAATCCTACGATAGCAATTGTCCAACACAGCCCTCCACACTGTACACAGACAACACTGTTAATGGTGGAGGATTATACTCAACTCATCCTGTGGTTGCTACTGTCTATGTGCATCTCACGGTTTTTCTCTCAGTGAACAAGATTTTCCTATTAATAACTAACAGGTAGAGAATAATTAATTTTCTGTGATCTATATACACTTAATTTCCATTTCCAAGACTAAACGGTTTATACAGCTGTTTATACAGTTGTTTATACAGCTACCGATGTCACATGATTCCATGTGAGTGTAGAGGCTGATGTGTGACCTGTGCAGGACATGGTCACCTGGGTTCTCATACCCCAAGTCACAGAGCATCGCAGAGGATGCTCTTTCCTGTATTGTGTCTTTCTACTCTTTGACCAAGCTTACCTTCTCCGACTGTTAACAGCAATGCACACTGCAAGAATCAATACAAGTGCCACAAGAGCAGCCACTATGATCAGCCATTCTACAGGGAGACATGAGGAAGGGGAGAAAAGCATGTTAACGTATCTCACATAGTTTTGCAAGAATCTCATGTAGAACTGCAAGAACACAATCTCTTCTACTTTTATTAAACTGTCACTCTTTTCCTGCTTTGCATGGATGTTTGTTCGTTTTACAGAATGTTTCTGTGTAAGTCAAATAAATTTTCATCACTCAGCTATACACAGGCCAACTCAGATTAAATATCCCATCATTGTTATCACCCATAAGTACTGCATTTTGGTGGGCATAGGTGAAGAGGAGCTATATCACTGGCTTACTCCAAGAGCAAAAGAAAAGGCTTAGCATGACACACCTACAAGAAGTAGGATGACTTCTAGTACATTTTTAGTAAAGGAGGTGTCAAGACCTTCCCAGTAGCCTCTTCTCTGCTACCATTATAGCCCTACTACCATTACAGATGGAGGTCCTCTACAAAGAGCTAACTCCTTGATTTTGTTTGTTTGAAACAGGTCTCCCTTGTTTAACAAAACTCTTACACTTTATTTGAAACAAATTACTACTTCTAATTAGTTAATTATTATTACTCTGTGGTGAAAAACTGATAAGCATTCTTTTTTTAGCGTGGTCTTCTTATATCTCCCCTCAGTTTTCTCTGAAAATGATAGGTTCTTCAGAAGGTGCTTCAAAGGTTACCTTTCCAAAATTTTCTGTATGCTTTTCTCCATTTCTTTCCTATGTGAGTGAGCAATGCCTTGAACTGAACACAGAGCTTCAGCTCTGGACTTGCTAGGTCTAAGTAGAATGGGATAATTACTTTCTCTGTTTTAAAAATTACTTTATTGCTAATATGTCCCAGAATATATTTGCATTCTTTTACAACTGTATCATGGTGTTGGCTTCTTTTTATTTTATTTTATTCTGCAAACTCTATTCTGCAACACTTGTCTCAGCTATCATTTTTACTGAACATTCTTCTCATGGATACAATATTGTGAATAGATCTTTAACGAGATTTGCCTGATTTCCTATCAATTCATAAAAATTATTTGAATCTTAATCCCATTCTCCAAATGCATGGTTTCTCTCATCTCAATATTGCTGGAAAATTAGATGAGTTACAATATGTTCCATTTTTTAGACTACTAGTGAAGTGCTGAATATTATTTGATTCATAACAAAGCCTGAACAATTGTACTTGACCTTATTTTCATCTCTTACTTTAGTTCATATGAATGCAACTCTGTGCTTATATTTTTAAAACATGACTTCAAAAACCTACCTGGTACACGGGCCGACCTTGGCTGTGAATCTATTTTTGTTGGGGTGGTGTCTCCAGGGGAAGTAGTGGATCCATAATGTCCCTTGCGTGGTCCTTCATTACCATATATACTAGAGGTAGAGCCTAAAGAAAAGAAAAAAAGCTATCCATTAGGCCAAATATGCTTAGTGAGTATTTAACAGCAAGGTACAAAGACTATGACTTTCACTATTAAAAAAACATATTCTGGGAAGTTCATGCTGAAGCAACTTATAGTACTGAAGTATTTATACTGAAAACTATTACATATAAGCATCATACTTATCTGAACTATGGCTAGCTTTAGTATTTTGAAAAATAAAACTCATGGCTTTCTGCTCTTGTCTCTCTTATATGTTTCTTTTTTTTGGTGAATCAAAATGTGATTATGATTGCCTAGAAATTTTCTGAATAAAATGTAAAGACATAAGTGTTGGCAACTTTTTAAAGAGGCTTTTGTCATACAGGTCAAACATCTTGTCTGTTCCATGGGAAAAAGAGAATGAGAAAAGGAGAGAGAGAGAGAATTTTACTTTTTTATTTAAACCTAAAAGGTTTGAATGGAGAAATTTTGAAACTATTAATTCTATTCTGACACAGGGTAAAACTGAATGTTAAAACTGCAATACTCTCATTAAGTAGAATGACAGCTCTCTGAATGGTTGTAAATTATCAGCAGAATATAGATACAGTAATTCCATTTGGGACTACTACTTCATTATCACCACAAAAAATATATTACAGATTTCCACCTCTCTGAATTCTTCTAGAGTCTTACAGAGTAAATTAAGCACTGACTCTAATCAGCTGTAAAGTTCTTTTTCTTTAACACACATTGGAACTCATTTCTATCCAGCATTTCTGATCTCCCTTCCTAATAACAGCTGGCAAATACAAAACCAAGAAGAATGTTTTTCCCCTCTTGCTTTGCCAGCAAGCAGCTCATGAATCTTCCAGATGTTTTCATTATTTTTATTAATAAGAAACTTATTGACTGGTGTGTTGTTTAGTGATATCTCACAACAAAGGACAGAGCAGTAATTCAGCGGCTAAGGGTCCTGATCTAGCATCAAAGAAAGCTGACCAAGAGGAACATACTAACTTGTCTACCCCACATCTCAGCAGACTCTTTGAGGGGCTTTATATCATCCTTGAAAAATGCCAGAGCTTTTCCTTCACAAAGCCCCTTAGAAAGGCAGTAGGACATTTATTAAAATGCGTGTGCTTAGAGAATGTGCTACATTTGCTATTCCCCTGAGCACTGAGAAGAAGAAGCTGGATTCAGTCGTGTCCCCTGCTGTTCTGGCTCTGGGAAGGCACTTGCAAGTGGCAGGGAGGGATCCTCAAAAGCTCTCTGCATTTCATTTTGGTAACACACTAGGGTTTTTTTCTTTATGGACACTTATTTTTGGGGTTCCTTCCATGGACTGATTTGTCATTCTGTGGACACTTGGACACTTAGTGTGATGTCAGACCACAGCTTAAACACTGCTGTAGAAAAAAAGCAAGAGAAACAAAGTAGTATAGTATATCAAACCATCCATCTGCTCAGAGAAAGCCTTTAACTGTAGCCTGCCAATACATTCATGAATCTTTTCCATGCCATTACACCTATATGAGGAAACATTACAAATGAATGAACCATTCAGTAAATAAATTTTTTTATGAAAATAGTAGTGTCCTAGTAATTCCCTTGTGTTGTGTTTTTAAAAAGCACCAAGAGAAAGTAAACGAAAAAAGGCAGAGTTTTAAGAAAACAGCCTTTTGCCAGGGCACTGACACTGCAAAGATTCGATGCAGATATTCACACTGAAAATTATCTTCAAACCAGTTACATGTTCTATGTGCTCAAAACAAAAAGGTAGCAAAAGTCTTTTCACAGTGTGTAATGTCTGGACATAAAATTAAGGAGGAAGCTTGGATTAATTGAGTGAACAGGGCTAGCGAAAGTCAAGAAATGAGTTTGTTGTAGTAGGAAACCATTATGAAAAACAGATTTATATTTCCAATAAAATTTTATCAAAAATATATTTTGCATTTATATTGCTATGCCTATGTCAAAATGCTATAACTAGGCAATTTTGACAGAGTTGAATTTACTGGGTTTATACAAAATTTTTGGAAAAAAAAAAGTAGGCAAAGTTCTATCTCACAATGGGTTAATTAATTATTACTAACAGAATTATCTTTAAAGTATTTGCTGAATAATGCTGTAAAAACATAGGTACCTAATCTTGCTTGTGTGCAAAGAATGTCCACAGAGCATTGGCCAAATTCTGCCCTGGAATGGTTCCAGTAACTTCCAAGAAAGTGCATGAAAACAGTGTTTGGATTAGCGGCTTTTGGAAAAGAAAAACCAAAAATGCCTTATGGTTACGATGATTATTTGTATGGAAACTACATTTGGAAATAAGGAAAAGTCCCTTAATTTTGCATACAATTAGCATGTGACCACACATAAAAATGTACCAAAGGCTACATGTAGTATAATAAGCAAATACTGTTATTGTTAATTGCACTAACTTTATCAGAAGAATAACCCTTTAATAAAAAAAAAAAGTTGTTCTCAAATGAATGTCAGTTACAGCCCAGTAACAGTAAAGAAAGGCAAAATGTTATCACAAATGTATTGGCATGAGGAGAAAGTTTAGACTTCTTCACTTCAATAACTGTGTTACCACATACTGATAACACAAGGTTATTTGCAAACAACTCTTTACAACCTTTTAGTCAATACCCTTCATGATATCTTATCAGCAGGTTATAAACAATAACAAACCCCCAAAAGGAAATCATACTATGACAACAATTTACAATTACGGTTAGTACGCATGGGCTTGGACAATAGTCATTGTCCACAATAATAACTTACTGACGGATAAATTAAAATGTTCACAATTCATTGTTCTTACTAGTAGTAAGAGGGGTCTGCAAGCGGTTAAGATGGTCTTCACTGTCTGGAAGAATTGCAGGTATCCAACTGACATGGGAACCATCGGTGGTGTTTGCTTGTTCACTTTTCCTTCCAGGTGGAGTGCCGGGTGCCAGTGGCTCCTTGGTTGCTTTCTCTTGGTTAACATCCTCCACAGACTCTGTGACTGGCATGATGGTGCCATGATCAGCTTTAAAATGGAGCACTCACAAAACCACCACCCATATTGTTTCCACATTGTATTTCCATATTGCACCACAGCAAGCCAGAAAGCACGTCCACCTTCCTCATTCAAAGCATAGAAGGAGGGGAGAAGACAGGAAGGCCTCTCCTTCTTCTTCCACCCTGTCACTGGCTTCTGAGAGACCATTAAGCATCACATCTCTGCTCACCATGTTGGAGCAAGACACTGGCTACATGTACAGATCCCAGTGACAGATGGAGAGGGGAGACTTTGAGAAGAGACCACAGCAGCAACAACCTGACCATGTAACTCAGGAGTGAGAGGCCATACTGCAGCCAGACCTGTGTCAGTCTTTCCTGGCAATCCACTGGTGAGGAGAAGTAAGAAATTGATGGCAGAATATATGGGATGTAATTCTTCTATGATTGCACTGCACTCACCACTGGAACACCTCTCCCCTATGATGGTGCTGCTGCTGAGTCACAGGAGCAAGACATCTGATTAACCTTCCAGAGCACCTCCACCACACCAATCACGGTGCCAAAGCATATCAAGCCTGATCCCACTGATGCACAAGAAAGGAAGATGAGGCTGGGGACTCAGAATCACCAAAGTGCATGTCTTGCAGAATAGTTAGCAGGTCACCCAAAAACATGCTTCAGCAAAGGACAGAAACCACCAAGTGTACCAGTAGAGAGACCCTTATGCCTTGTCGACAGATCCTATCACAGATTTTTGCACTGCAAGTCCACACTAAGAATGTAGATTC